CCTAGTCCTTTGTCTTTTCTCTCTCTCTTGTCTCCTTACTGCAGATTTCTCTGTCGTGCACAACTTGGCTATATATCGGCTCTCAAGTGTCGGGACATTATTCGGGATTCACAGGTCCCGACACCGAACATGTTCGTTGGTGTGTCTGTTGGGGCTAAGCTCCTGATACTGTCCAGGCCCAATTTATTCCATGCTAGTCTAAGTCTGGTCAGGAGTTTAACAATCCATTTGACTTGCAGGGCTTTTGTTCTTGTTTGGGGTCGATGATATCTAATCCTCCTCTGACACGTTTCCTTGTGATATAGTGCCAGACTATTTTTGTTGTAAGTTCTCTTTCTTGGGGCCACCCGACCACAAGTACGCTCTTGCTTTGCGGTTAAGGTCCTTGATTGTATGATCCGACACTGTTCAGATTGAAGCTATATACCACATCATTGAGAAAATTGATGTGTTGATGGTCAGCGCATGATGCAACAAAGTCGTAGACATGTTCCCCCACCTACCCCGTTTGTTACTGTGGTTGTAGAGTATGTTTTGAGCCATTTGGGGGGCAAAGCCATCTTTCATTAGCAAGATGTCCAGGTATCGTGTAGGTGACTCAGGTTTCTACCATGTCATGGCCACCTTCAGGCCCTGGAGCTATGGGAACTCCTCCTCAGACAACCACCATCTGATTGTCTTTTTCCAATTAATTTTCATTTTTGATGCGAATCTGAAAGCCTCCATGGCTCTTACCAGCGTGCTAAATGATGAATCCGAAGCTCAAATGAGGACTATCGGATCGTCTGCAAACATTATTACTGTCGAAAAGTGTATGTGGTGGTGTGTGCCTACATAGACCTCTGGTAGCCTGTGGATGGAGGGGTCTTTGCATTGGAATGAGGCTATTGCCTCCATCACAAAGAGAAAGATTGGAGGCGCTGGTGGGCCCCCTTGGCGAACTGAACGTGAAATTCGATAGCAGACTAATAGCAGGCCATCCACTTGAGCACGACCTATGGCGCCGTTGTACAAGATACACACCCATTTCCTAAAGTGGAAGCCCACTCCCATCTTTTTCATACTTGCACTGAGGAAGGCCCAACTTATCTGATCATATGCCTTCTCAAAATTGAAAAAGAGGATTGTTGTGTTACTTCTTTTCTCTCTGACTTTGAGGGTCAGTACGTTATCAAGGATGTACCTCCCAGGGATGAAGCCTGTTCGATCTATGTGAAAACATTTGTCTGTCAGATCGAGGATTTGAAACGCCGAAGCTTTGGCTAGGATCTTATCGAGAAGTGTTACTAGTGAAATAAGCCTATAATTCCTTATATCTTCCTTTTCCCCATTTTTGTACATCCATGTGACCACAATGCTGCTCAACAGGTTCCCTAACCCACCTTTGCGCCAACTGCCGTTGTAGAAGTTCTGCAATTCACCCCCTAAGAGCGGCCAAAAAATTTCCATAATTCTTTAGTCACTATGTCGATACCTGGTGACTTGTTGCTGTTCATACTTTGGGCTGCAAATTGCAATTCCTCCGTAGTGATGGGTTTATTGCGAGACTCTGCTTGTTCTTGTGAGATCGTTTTTTCCAGATATTGTACCATCCTGGTCTGTGCCTCTCAAGTACTTGGTGGAGTAGGCGTAGGGGTCTTCAGATGGTATAGCTCTTCGTAGAACTCCTTGGTTATGTTCAACATTCCTTTGATATCTGTTATTTTTCCGGTGTGTCTAAAACAGTCTTCAAACCTTCAATTGAGTTGGCCCTTGAGTTTGCCTTTATTCTCAAGGAAAAGTGTTTCGACATTGACTCACTTAACTCGTATTCATTCATTCAGACTCTTATTTACATACCCTTTAACTCCCACTATCTCCACAAGGCTAGTTCTTCTCTTGACTTTTCAAAGATATCTTTGTAGAGAGGGGAGGATGGGTTGTCAATCAAGTTTGTCTCCGTGATCTTTTAGAGTTGACTCCAAAGCTTGTTTCCTTTGCTTTCTATTGTTCGCTAGTTCCCTTTATATTTTGGACATAGTCTGTGATACTGTGAGGTGGCTTTCTTAACACCACTCTCCCGTATTCTGGTTAGGTAGGTATCTTCCCCTCAAATTCTGCTGAAATTCCTGAAATCCCGACTGCAAAGTCTGTCAGACTCGAACTTAATAGAAGGGAATTGTTCAGTTTGAAAAAGCTAGAGCCCTTCTTAATGTACTGCTCAAAATTGAACATGAGTTCAACGGGTTTATGGTCCATACCCGAGTATTGTGACGGGGCTGAGGCAGAGCAACGAGGTCAGGGAAGAGAGAGGGAGGGAGTGAGAGCACACACAAACTCACTCAACTCGACACGACTCAACGAACGTAGACACAAAGTGGCAAAGTCGCAGAGTTGCAAAGTTGCAATCTTGGATTCTCAATACAATGTTGCATCAAGTCACACTGAAGCACAAGCATTGAGGCCGAAAACTGACAAACTCGGCTTGAGTCCGGTCTTAAGTACCCGACTCAAGTTGAGTTTCGAGGGCAGACGTGCAATTTGCCTCGGGACTGAACTGAAAATCGAAGGTCTGAGCCTGGGCGCCAGAATGTCGGATGGCGTCAAGTATCGAAATCTGAAAATGCCTGAGAAGGGATTTGAGAACGGGCGCCAACTGCAGAGGGCGCCAACAGTTAGGCACCAGAGATCAAAGACTCAAAAATGAAATAGCAGCCTGGTGGGTGGTGACCCGCGGACCAGGGATTGAGCCCTAGCTGAGTACGTGACACTATCCCCTCCCTTTAGAAGGCAGCGTCCCAACTGCCAAAGACCCAATGAACAACTGTGAAGGACTGGACGGGGCCAATTACTGGTCAAAAAAAGGAAAAGGGGAGTAATGCAAGTAGCAGGGTAATCCTATCAAGGTTCTACAGGGATGAGGGAATCAACGCTCAAGTATAGGGATGAGGGAATCAATGTTCAAGTAACAGGGTAATCCTATTGAGGTTCTACTGGGATGAGGGAATCAATGCTCAAGTAACAGGGTAATCCTATTGAGGTTCTACAAGGGTGAGAGTAGGTAACATGGTAATCCTATTGAGTTTCTACAAGTAACATGGTAGTCCTATTGGTGTTCTACAAGGTTACAGGTTTGAGAAAAGTAAAAAAAAATGTTTGTTCAATGCTAAAGTTGTTGGGGTGTCTTAGGGGTCTGGGAAAACGACGTCTCAGGTCTGTAACAAAGTGTCAAAAGCGAAAACATGTCTTGAGGGAGGTCTTGGAGGGTGTCGCAGAAGTGGCAGTGAGGAAGCAATCTTCAACAATACTGAGATGTAGATGGCGAGGGCTCCAGCTTGATTGTCCCAGTAGCAGGTTGCGTCCGGTACACGGTCTAATGATGAGGTCTGATCCGGATAGCAGGTCGCAGACTGATCTTGATGTCAATGTCAGAGGTGCTGCTCCAGAAGTCTGTGAGTCCAAGGTGTCGGCCAAAGGGAACAGCATGGTGGCCAACCAGCTATCTCATATCCTGGCACTAAGCTGCAGTATGCCATCGTCCTCGTCTGCTCGCCATTAGATCCATTATCGCCGGCGATGCGCAGGGACCACAAAGAGAACTTAGACAAAAGAGACAAGGATGTGGCGGAGGGCAGATGGGAGAACGGGGCAAGGCGGAGGCAAGAGCAGATCAAACAGGGGGGGTTCAAGAGGCAAGGGCTTTGTTGGATACAGGGGTGTGTGTAGAGCAGGGATGCGGGGTTTTGGCGGGGTCAAGGCGGGGTTTAGACAAGGGTTTATAGCTCGAGTTATATTATGTATATAGGATATAGGGTGAGCACGATCATAGGCGCGAACAAGTTTCATGGCGTTCTTGAGATTACAGAGAGGTTCCCATGTAGATTCGTCATCAGGGTATCCGGTCCATTTGACTTTGTATTCTTTGATTGGTTCCGGATGGTCTGATACTTGTGTGGTTCGTCGTCCTATGATGGATTCTACTACGAATTCTGGGCATGTGGGAAGCATGATTGGTGGAGGTTTGGGGTAAGGGCGGTCAACAAATTGGGGTGGGGATTCATGATATTCTTGTAGGTATTCTACCTGGAAGACAGGGTGGACACGACTCATGTCAGGAGGGAGTTGGAGCTTGTAATTGACGAGGGAGGTTTGTTCAATGATGGGGAAGGGACCAAGCCATTTGTTCGAGAGTTTCTTTGACAATCCGTGTTCAGGTTCAAAGCGTTTGGCGGAGAGCCAGACTTTGTCCCCTACTTTGAATGACACATCACGTTTGTGTTTGTTAGCCCTGTTTGCTTGTTCTTATGTTCTTTCAAGGGCTTCGGTTGCTTCTCTGAGGAGTCGATTCATTGTTGCTACCTGTGTAGCATCGTGTTTGGGTTCGGTGACCGAACCCGAACGTTCGGGACCGAACGTGAACGAGCGCCGAAACTCTTCGAGTGCGAACATGAAAATATTATTAAAAAAAAAACAAACAAAGTTCTCCGAAAAATATGAAAAAAAATATATGTTATGCAAATTAATAATACAAACAACTTTGCCTTGGAGGTATGTTCAAATTCGTAACCAAACTCGAGTTAAACATCAAAAAACATTTTAGTTTTTATTATTATTTTTTTTTATATATGTTCGGTCGAACACGTTCGGGTGGTGGCGTTTGGCCGAACACCCGAACATGTTCGGACGTTCGGAAAAGCTCCAAACATGTTCGGTGTGCTACACAGGTTGCTACCCATTCATTGAGGGAAGGGAAGGGCATGGAGGGGTTGAATTGTGAGGGGAGCAGGAAATCGGAGGGCAAGTGCGGATGATAGCCAAGGTCAAAGTAGAATGGAGACATGCCAGTGGAAGGACAAACAACGTTGTTGTAGGTGATCTCGCTGGCGGTGAGCAACTGATCCTAGTCGTGTTGATGTGGATGACAGTACTTCCGCAAGATTCTTTGCAGAGTATCGTTTATCTTCTCGGTTTGTCCATCGGACTGTGGGTGGGGTGTTTCCAAAATTGTGAAAGGAAGCGAGGGTCACGGTCGCTGATGATGTTCTCGGGGAGATCGTGATGGCATTCGACATGGTCGAAGAAGAGAATGGCGACGTCCTTGGTGTTATGCGATGTGGTGCAACGGATGAAATGGGCGCGTTTAGTCAAGCGGCAAATGATGACATAGATGCAATCATGTTCGCGGTCGGTCTTGGGGAGACCGCAAACGAAGTCCATGGAGATGGACTGCCACCGGTGGGTGGGGATCGGTAATGATTGTAGCTTGCCGGGCTTGGCGCGGTTTGACGGGTTGACGGCTTGACATGTGGGGCATAAGCGAATGTATACTTTAACGTCGGCGAGTAGGGAAGGTCAGTGAAAGTAGCGGGAGATGGTGTCGAATGTTTTCTGGAACCCAAGATGTTCGACAGTCTTGGCGTCGTTGTGTTCGACCAAGAGCTGGGTACGGAGACCACGTGTGTCAGGGATGCAAAGTCGGCGAGTGCCTTTAGTATCGATGTAAAGGAGATTGTCATGGAGGGAGTAGTTGGGGACAGTGTTGAGGTCACGAAGCTTGTTGTAGATGGTTGCGAAGTCTGGGCAAGAGAGATAGCCTTGGGTGTAGCGATGGTGAAGAGACGGGAGGAGTGGGATATGTGTCATTGCGGCATAAACTTTCTCAGAGGGTTTGTGGTCGGGGCGCAGGGAGAGGGCATCGGCAACACGGTTGCTTTTGACGGGTGTATGGCAAATGGTGAAGGTTAACTTGGTGAGAAAGTCTAACCAGCAAGCTTGTCGTGGGGTAATGTCTTTCTTTGTTAGGATAGAAGAGACGATGGTGTTATCTGTGGGGATGGTGAAATATTGCCCGTCAAGGTATGGGCGTCAGACTTTGAGGGCATGGATCACGACGAGGAGCTCGTTCTCGTTGGAGGGGTAATTTATTTCCGCGGGAAGGAGTTTCTTGCTAGCGAAGGCGATGGGGTATTCGTTGAGTGGGGCCTCGGGGTGGGTAGGGGATTCCTTGATGGAGGGAGTTTCGGTGGTGTCACGAGGAAAATGCTGGGACAGGACGGTTCCAATGGCGAAGTCGAAGGCGTTGGTGGTGATGAAGAAATGGCGAGTGTGGTCGGCAATCTCAAGGACGGGGGCGGTAGTGACGAGTTGTTTGATGGCATCGAAGGCGTTTTGGCAACGGTCGTTCCAAGTGAAGGGTTCGTCCTTGCGGGTGACTTCGTGGAGGGGGTACGAGATGTCGGAGAAGTTGCGGATAAAGGGGCGATATTAGTTGGCAAGGTCGAGAAATGATCGAAGTTGGAGTAGGGTCTTGGGTGGTGGATACTCAATGAGGGCGGTGACCTTCGAGGGGTCCATGCGGATACCTTCAACGGAGACGATGTGGCCAAGGTATTCAACGCTTGAAGCAGCAAAGGTGCATTTGCTGAGCTTGGCGTAGAATTTTTGCTCTCTGAGGATAGAAAGGACTTGGCGGAGATGCTAAAGGTGGGACTCAAAGGTGGGGTTGTTGATTAGGATATCATCGAGGTAGACGGTGAAACAGACTCCGAGGAGGTCGCAAAATATGTGGTTCATTGTAGATTGGAATGTTGCGGGGCACTCGTGATTCCAAAGGGCATCACGAGGTATTTGTAGTTCCCGCATCGGGAATGGAAGGTGGTATTGAGGGTATCCTCCTCGCGGATGCGGATCTGGTGGAAGCCACTGTGGAGGTCGATCTTGGTAAAATACTTGGCTCCACGGAGTTGATCGAGAAGCTCGGAGATCAGAGGAAGGGGGTACTTGTTCTTGATCGTGATCCGGTTAAAGGCGCGGTAGTCTGTGCACATCCGAAGTTTCGATGTTCCGCCTTTCTTTACGAAAAGGCAGCTTGTGCCGAAGGGGGATGAACTCGGCTTATAAATCCTTTTTCAAGGAGTTCATCGAGTTGCCGCTTGATTTCTCCGGCTTCCGGAACGAAGAGTTGGTACGGAGGGCAGCAAGGTGGAGAGTGACCGGGCTCCAAATCGATGGTGTGGGATACGCCACGATCCGGAGGTAATCCGGCAGGCAAGGACTCGGGGAAGATGTCCTTGAATTCGTCAAGGATGGAGGTGAGGGCGGGGTCGGAGGGGGGGGCTTGGTCGGGTTTGTCCGTTGGGAGCAAGTCCTTAGGACGCTCGCGATCAAGGTCAAGGCAATAGTAGGTGGAGTCAGGGTTCGTGTGAGCCATGTGAAGGAATTGGTGCGGGGTGACGAAGCTTGGGGAGGTGGGATAGGGGAGATAGGGAATGTCGATGGTTGTGTCAGGGGGGTTGGTAAGGCGGAGGAAGTTGGGGTGGAACGCGTATGGCATGCAGCGGTCCAGCCACGGTGTTCCCAAAACGATATCGCACATTAAGTGCATAACATCAAATGAGACCTGACTGCGGAGGGTTCCGACAGTCATGGTGGTCTCGGAAACCGTGCGGACTACTACGACGGCGGTGTCTTTGTCCCCTAAACGAATCGGAATCAGGGAGTCTTAACCAGTAGAGGTAAGACCGGCTTTCCAGACACGCATCGGTGATGAAGTTACCTGGCTCCAATGTCGAGGAGGACCCAAAACTTAGTCGTAGACACACCGAAGGTGGCGGCGATGAATTTGAGGTGAAAGCGTGACGAGTTGGCGGTGGAGATAATGGTGTTGAGGCGGCATTGTTGATTGCCTAATCGGACAAGCCGATCGTGTCGGGCTTGTTCCTCAACAACATCAGAGAAGGTGACAGAGGATGAATTCGGAAGGAGGGTCGAGGAACATGTCACAGTGAGGGGGGCGTCATGCGACGAGGGTTGCGACACCTGGGGGTCGTCTGGTGGGATGTGCGGCACCGGAGAGGTGGGAGGCAGACATATTGTCGATGCCAAATGGGCCACCGATGGGATGGAGATTGTCACAGATGGGATGGCCTGCAGACTAGTCGTCAATGCCGGGGCGGGTTCGTGGTGACCATGGGGACAGTGTTCAAGTGGAGGAGGGACCGGGGGTGGCCGCGGACTGGCGTGTGAATTGTCTAGCAATTGGGCAGTTGGTTTGCTGGTGGCCTAATTGTCGGCACCGGAAACATCCACCTTTTGCCTAAAGGTGTGCTCTTTCCTCGGGTGTGAGTTTCTTGAGGCGGCCCGGGAGGGTGTTCGGGGGAGGGCGGCTAAAGCGTTCTCTCTTTTCCATTCACATGAGGTGAATGGCAGACAGTTCGTTGGGGGAAAGTGTCGAGGTATCCATGGTGTCGGATAGGGAGTCAGTGTCGAGGTTGGAGATGATAAATTCGTCCGAGGTGGTGGAGAGGGCGGTCTCTTCTGTTATGTTGTGAAAGAATCGGGGGCGGTGTGGGGTGGAGGTGACAACATTTTTGTAAGGGGTAAGGAGTCGGTCGATTTGGAGGCAGCGGTTAAGGAGGTCATGGAGGGGCATTGAGGTTTCGTGGACGAGGGTGGCTCCGAGATCCTTTAGGCGTACTCGTTTGACATGGGAGATGAAGACGACGTCGCTTATGAAGTCAATGGGAATGTGTTGGCGTGGGACAGGGACATATTGTACGAAACGGTCGGTTGGCCCGTTTTGGCGTATCCGGAAGAATTGGTCGATGTAGTCATCGACGGTTTTCTGTGGCCGGAAGGTAGAGGTGAGCAAGGAAGCCCATTCAAGGAAGGAATAGGGTGGGAGGCTGGCGTGGGTGCGGTTTGTCATTTCGGTGTACCACCATCCAGCGGCGGTGTCTAGGAGTCTGGTTCCGGCGATGTGGAGCTAGTGGATAACGTGGATGCCGTGGAGAGAAAAGGTTTGGTGGAGTTGGGTGAGGAAGAGGAAGACATCCTCATGGGGTGAGCCGAAAAAGGTTGGGCGCTCATTGGAGCGGAAGGAGGGTGGGTTCTTTCCTTCTTTGGGGGCCGAGGAGGTGAGGGTGTTGAAGTCGAGGGTAGAGGGGGAGGACGTGACTCACGTGAAATCGATCATAGGGTTGGTGGGGATGAGTACGTTTGGGGGCAAGATAGGTGGAGCGGGGTGGAACATTGGGGGGAAGGAGGTGACCGGGGTGTAGGTGGCATGGGTGGAGATGATGGTAGATGAAGTGAGAGTTGGGTTGGTTTGAAGGGGGATGCTGGATGATTGTGTGATGGCGGGGGTTGAGGGCTTGGGTAGGAGGGGAGTGGGACTGACAACGGTGACAAAAGTAGTGGATGATGACGGGTGTGCGCGGGCTGTGCTGGTTGGAGGGGTCGATGTAGAAGGTGTCGGTGTGGAGGTTGAAGCGGAGGTCTATTCGGAGGAGGAGGTGGGTTGTGGGGTGGAGGACGAGGTGGTTTGTGGTGCAGAGGAGGAGGGTACGGTCATGGTGACGACCGTGATGGCGGGGGAGTTTCCCTCAATTGTGGCTCGCCTGCGAGGTTGCGGGCGATGCTGTTGACGGAGTCGGTGCGGATGCCGAACATATCAATGCTGGATGATTGGGCCATGGTTGGGGACGAAGCGGTGGTAGAGGCGGCTGAGCGGCAGCAGCGGTGGCGTCAGCGGCTGTTGAGAGTTCCTGGTTGTGTGTGTCATGCCCAGGGGGGAGTGCCTATTTACAAGGGGCGGGTAACGCCAATTGATTTAGCGATGAAGGTAAGAAAAATCGCAAAACAAGAATTAATTTTAAATAAATTAATTCGAATTTATTCAAAATTAATTTGAGAGAGTGTTTTTTCAAGAAAATTCAAAAAACAAAGGTTTTGAGAGAGTGCGAAATTTTCAGGATTTTCCAAATAAAGAAAAATAATAATTACTTCCGAGAAGAGAAATAGATTCTAACTAAATTTATTCGGATTTACGTTCGGGGTAGAATTTTGTAATGAAGAGAGATGCTGAAATTTCGAAAAGATATGATTGATTCTGAGTAAAGGGATAAATTCAGGCGTGAATTAATCGGATTTAGTCGAAATTAATTGAGGGGTTCATAATAACGTTTTCAAAAAGAAAAGTACTTCCAAATTAGAAAAAGAATTTCAAAAAAGAATTGCAAAAAAGATTAATTGATTATGATGTAGTTTCAAATTTCAACAAAAAAAATCAAAAACGAAAAAAAAAAAAAGGGAAACGGTTAACGGAGGCCTTAATTTTCAGACCACTTGTCAGGCCATTTATAACAAAACCCAAAGGTCATTTTAACCAAACTTGCCACCGATTCAGAGAGTGGAGATCATACTAACTACTTACAAAAACAAAATTGAAAAAAAAACTTTAAAAAGCTATAAAACAGCAAGGCAAAAGTGTGTTTTCATGCAAAATTCAAACAGGGCAAAAAAAAATAAACAGAAAAAATTAAAAAAAATCTCCAATGCACTTTTCAGGGTTGAGGGGGTTAACCAAGGCTGAAAAGTGGGGGTCCCTGTTAACCGCTTGTGATTTGCCCTCCAATATTATGTGACCTGTGATGGATGTTGTCCTTCCGCTGGCTGGGATCTCTGCCTTCTCCACCCTACTTCTAAGTTGTGCCAGTCTTTCCATCGTATGTGGAAGTCATTTATCTCTGCCACTTTGTCCCTTGCAAGCCACACCTTAGTGAAATTTGCCTTGATTCTTCTCTGTTGCTCTTCGTCATCTGGCATGGACTGTCTCGTCTTGTGCCACTTACAAAGGATCTCCGCCTGAATCAAAGTCTTTGTCTCCGCCCATACCTTCTCCCTTGGAGTTGAGAGTCCCTCAATGGCTTTACAACACCTTTCCTTCCAGATGGACCACAGCGTTACCTTTCTGATCATTCCAAACCACGTTTTCTGTGTCTTGTGGAATTGAGCTGGGATGTTAGTCCATAGAAGGAGTCGAATGGGATGTTCAGGGAGGGGAGACGAGAAGAGGGAATCACAGAGATCCGAGGCCCTCGCCCAGTATTCGGTCGCCTCTCTACAGCATATCAGGCATTGTAGCATACCTCCTAATTCATTATCTGAACATACTGCGCATAAATCTGAACTGTTGGGGTCATTCTTGCTTCTTCTGATATGTAACCACTGGTTGACCTGTAGAGCTACGTATGAGATGAGCCATTGTAGGCTTCTGATTTTGACCCGACGAATTGACTTGAAATTTTTCCATGGTATTTGTGGGATCTGACTAGCATCTTGACCTAGTGGCTTTTGCACTCTGTAATTTTATGAATTAAAATGTACGAAACAAAAAAGGATGATTTTTTTTTTTTTGAAATTCGAAAAAGCAATGTTGAGAAAGAATTAACTAATTCAAACAAAAGTAATTTCATTAATTCTAAAATATTTTCGAATTACAAAAATTTAAAATTCTGAAAAAGGATTAGTTAAAATTATTTTCGAAGTTCAAGGAAGAAATATGTATTTTCTTAGGTTGTTTTTCTGGGCGCTCGGGCACCCAACTTGTGCCTGGATACGCGCCCGGGTGTCCGGCCACGCATGACCCCCGGGCAGGGTTCCGGGCAGCCCCAGAGCCAAAAAAAAAAAACAAAAAAAAAACGAAAGTCAAAAATTTCCAGGAAAAAAAAAAGTTATGTAGAATTGCAATACAAACAACTTTTGGTTGAGGGGCACATCAGAATTCCTCACGGAATCGGAGATAAAAAAAAATAATAACAAAATCACACTAAACGACCTCCCTTTAACCCCTCTTAGCCCCTTTAAAAACAATTTATACCCCCCTTTCCCCCCTTTGACAGCCAACTCTCAAAAAATGAAATGAGCCCGGATTTGGGGTCCTCTGGGAGAGTGCAGAAAGGCAA